AAGTGTCACTAAGGTTTAGGTCAAAGTCGTGGATGGTGGTAGTGCCTGGTGGTGTAGAGGCAAGGGGTATGGGGGGCTGTTGCGATGGTTGGTTGCGAATAGGCGAGATAATGGGTGAGTGTGTAGAAATGGTTGGTGTTGGTAAGGATAGGGAAAGGAAAAGTGGTTTAGCGGTGGAAGGAGGGAAAGGCACGACCGATTGTAGTGAAACAAAGGGGACGGTGGTAGTGGTGGTGGTGGTTAGGGTTTTAGTGACTAGGGGTAGGGAAAGAGGAATGCTTACCGAAGTGACAACGGCGTGGGATTCATCGTATTCCACTCGAACGGTCATGGCTTAACTGACTTTCGCCAAGACAGGTTCCATGGCCGGCGGTGCAAAGGCGATGGGGTTGGGAGACAGCGGCTCTAACTCGACATTAGGTAGCGCGATGAGAGTAGCGGTGGAAGACTCGCCGGTGGTCGAACGGCGCAAAGACCGGCAAGTTGGAACTCGGCCGGCGGTGGGTTTTCGAGACCTAGCCATGAGAGAAAGAAGATGAAGAATGCAAATATGAAGTGTAAAAAACAATTCCCCCCCCCCCTTTTCTCAAAACCCGATGGTTACCTCTCTTGAAAACTACTCAACATGCAAAATCCAAAAGTCATAAGGATTTTTGAATAAAATAATTAAAACCTATTTTCTTTTCTTAACCCCCTTTTTTTGTCTTTTCTTTGTTTCAAGAAAATAACACAAAAACCTACCAAAATTGTTTTTTTCAAAATAATTCTTGACTGTGGGTATGAAATGCCAGAGAGCATACCTGCAAAATACAAACACGGAGTAAAAATATCAGAAATATATACAATATACACAACAGATGATTTGATAAAAATCAGGGAGATTTTTGGCTTGGATTTTGCATTCCTTCCGGGAAGAAATGTTTGATTCGATGCCCATTCACTTTAAAAACAATATTATCTTGTGGGTTTAAAAGATCTATTGTTCCAAATTTTCCCACTTCAACAATAGTGAAAGGTCCTGACCATCTAGATTTAAGCTTTCCGGAAAAAAGCTTTAATCTAGAATTAAAGAGAAGAACTTTTTGACCTTTTTCAAAAACTCGCTGATTGATCTTACGGTCATGCCACATTTATGTCTTTTCTTTATATAACTTGGCATTCTTGTAGGCTTGATACCTTCATTCTTCCAACTCATTGAGTTGGAACTTTCTTTTTTCTCCTACAGAATTTGCATTTAAATTGTGTTCTTTAATAACCCAAAATGCCTTATATTCCAATTCCAACGGGAGGTGACAGGCTTTTCCAAAAACAAGTTGATACGGAGACATGCCCAAAAGAGTCTTGAAGGCGCTACGGCAAGACCATAATGCATCATCCAATTTGAGCGACCAATCCTTACGGTTTGGCTTGACAACTTTCTCTAAAATATTTTTAATATCGTGATTGGAAAGTTCGACAAGACCATTAGTTTGTGGATTGGTAAGTTGTGGCAACTCTATGTTGGATGTTGTATTTATCAAGAGCGGCACTTAGAATTTTGTTTATGAAATGAGTCCCTTCATCGCTTATCAAGGCTCAGGGAGTTCCAAAACGAACAAAAATGTTTTATGCAAAAATTCTACTACCGTTTTGGCATCATTTCTTGGGCAAGCCTTAGCCTCTATCTATTTGGAGACATAATCAACCGCAACCAAGATGTATTGATTATTAAAAGACACGGGAAATGGTCCCATGAAATCAATACCCCAAACATCGAAAAGTTCAACTTCTAGAATGTTGTTTAAGGGCATCTCATTTCTTTGGGAAACATTTCCCATGCGTTGGCATTAGTCACAACTCTTCACAAATTCGAAAGCATCTTTGAACATGGTGGGCCAAAAAAATCCACTTTGTAAAATTTTAGCGGTCGTACGTTGTCCACCAAAGTGGCCACCGTATGGCGGTGCATGACACTTTTTTAAAAAAGCTTGGATTTTGTCATCCGAGACACATTTTCTCAAAATTTGGTCCGCTCCCATTTTATAAAGGAATGGATCGTCCCACAAATAATGCTTGCAATCATGAAGAAATTTTTTAAATCTATTTCCCTGAAAATTATATGGTTTAAGGCCACATGCGAGATAGTTCGCAATATCTGCATACCAAGGATGTTGTTTTGAAAACTGTGTTGTATGGACAAAACATATTCATCCAGGAAAACTTCCTTAATCTCATGACTTCCCCCACTTGATACCTTCCCTTCAATTCTTGAAAGGTGATCGGCTACTTTTTGCGATCAACAATCTCTAGATCAAATTCTTGTAAGAGAAGAATCCATATAATAAGCCATGGTTTAGCATCGACTTTATTAGAGAGATACTTGATCGTAGAATGATCTGTATGAACAGTGACTTTAGTACCAATCAAGTAGGATCGAAAATGACCAAAGACAAATACTACCGTAAGTAATTCTTTTTCCGTTGTGGTATAATTCAACCGAGCTTCGATAAGAGTCTTACTTGCATAGTAAATGGGCTGAAAAATCTTGTTTTGCCTTTGTCCCAAAACGGCACTCACGGCCCAATCACTTGCGTCACACACTACCTCAAAAGGTAGGGCCCAATTTGGGGTAATGATAATGGGTACAGAGACAAGAGCAGTTTTGTTTGTTTCAAAAGCCTTTTTACATTCGGAGGGGAACTCAAAAGTTTGGTCGACATGCAACAAGTTACATAAGGGTTTCGTAATTATTAGAAAAATCCTTAATAAACCGTCGGTTAAAACCCGCATGTTCCAAAAAACTATGAATGCCTTTGACCGATGTTGGTTTGGACAATTGCATTATCACCTCAATTTTCGCTTTGTCAATTTCCAAACCTTTTTTAGAAAAAACGTGACCCAAAACGATTCCCTCTTGTACCATAAATTGGCATTTTTCCCAATTTAAGATCAAGTCATGAGTCTCACATATTTCCAAACTTTTATTTAAGTTTTCAAAACAAATTTCAAAATTAGTGCCAATAACCGAAAAATCATCCATAAAAACTTCCATGGTATCTTCAATCATATATGAAAAAATTGATATCATGCAACGTTGGAAAGTGTCTGGCGCGTTACTTATAACTCTTATTTTTAAGAGTTATTTCCTATTTATTTCCTCCCTTTTTGCTATTATTAAATACTCAATTTTCTTGTTTTTATCCTTTTACTCCAAAAAGTTTTAAAAAGATGATGAAACACAAAGGAAGAGGTATTATCCAAAAACCTGTATTTTTCTGACAACACTGCCCACTGTGGGAAGTCTACCAGCCTTGTTGCAGCTTCTTGAGAAATGTGCAGCTTGAAGATTCCTCCATATATTTTCTACAGCTGTATATGAGCTGTCTTCCTTCTTCTATTTTATTTTCTTTTGTATTTTCTTAGACTTGTACTAATTACCCGTAAGGTAATGATTGGATGTACTATCCTCCCTTTCTCTCCCCTATATAAAGAGGCTTGGGGGAGCCATTTTGAGGTGTGCCCAACACCATCCAAGACACAATATTCTCTAGTGTGTCTCTCTTCTCTCTTTCTTTTCTTTCTTTTTATTATTATTCTTTTTAATTAATGTCTTTAATTAATGTCTTTAAATTATGTCTTTAATTTATGTCTTTAATTTCTAGTATTTTACTTCCTTGTACTTGTAATTTAGTTTTACATTAATGCAATTTATATTTCAGCATTATTTTATGCCTTTAATTACTTTTATTATGTCTAGCTAAATTACTTGTATGGGTGTGGGTGTGAGTTTAACTTAGGATGTTTATATAATATTTGGGTGTTTTTATCTTTTATCACTTCGTAACTTTGTCACTTAAGACGGTGCTTAAAATGCGGATAAGCTGATCACTTTGAAGTGTTAATATTAGATCTTAGACCTAGAGATGGGCGGATCCAAAGTACGGCTTAAGTGATGCACAATGAACTCGAGAGGGTCTTTGAATAATTACGTGGAGACGCGAATTTTGCATGCATCTAGCTAGGGGTTAAGCAATAGGTATTTTTATCACAAAGAGATTTGGGTAAGAATCGCATTCCTTTTACTTTTTAGCTAGATCGGCAAGTTTCGAAGTRGTAAWYGTAAAAMCCTTATGGAATTTTATGAGGCCCGGTTATAAAAGTTCAATTTCGAGAGATTGGAGCTTTTATAAACAACTCGTAAAAGTCTAACCATTTTATTGTTAATTTTATCTTAACCAATACTTGCACCCATGCCCATCATTTAATATTAGAAGTTTATTTCGTTAATTAGCTAGTCGGTCCTATTTCAGTCTTATTATAAACAAAAATCCAACTTTATTTTACATCTCGAAACTTGTGCAAGAAGTTCATGAAAAGTCTCTAAATATCTACCTTCTCTGTGGGAACGATCTCGGTACTTTGTACCACTTTATTACTTGCAAAGCGATCATAGTGTCGGCGTGCTCTTGCACCGCCACTGTGGGGATATTCTGCCCACTAGGAGAACACGAACGATCTCAGCCCTGTCAGTTACACAAAACCAAATGGCATACGTCATAAAGCAAAAGTTCCGAAGGGGCAAGTGAAACTAGTTTTCTCTTGATCTTCGGGTACAATGTGAATTTGATTGTATCCCGGGTATCCATCGAAAAAGCAATAAAATTCTTTTCCGGCCAATCTATCTAGCATTTGATCTATCAAAGGCAAAGGAAAATGATCTTTCTTAGTAGCTAAGTTCAATTGTCTATAGTCCATACAAATTCTTCACCCGGTGACGGTCCTAGTTGGGATAAGTTCGTTTTTGTCATTGGTAATTATCGTGGTACCACCTTTCTTTGGCACACATTGTACCGGACTTACCCAACCACTACTAGAAATGGGGTATATGATACCAGCGTCAAACCACTTCAAAATTTCCTTTTTAACGACTTCTTTCATCATGGGATTTAGTCTTCTTTGAGGTTGCACCTTTCCAACACTATTTTCTTCCAAAATTATCTTATGTTGGCAAAGAGACGAACTTATTCCCCAATATCGGCTATGGTCCAACCAAAGGTTTTCTTGTGGTCTTTCAACAAATCTATCAACCTTTCTTCTTGTTCACCACTTAAGTTGGAAGAAATAATTACAGGCAATTTTTCTCCTTTCATAAGATATGGATACTTAAGATGTGAAAAAAGTGGTTTTAACTCTAAGTTGGGTGCTTCTACAATGGATGGGGTTTGGGTTGGTCTATCTTTAAAATCTAACTGTTTAAAGGCAGCTATATCCTCAAGTAAGTCTTCTTCACAAATGTGTTCTGCTATACCCACAGTGTCTCCACTGCGGACACAGTCTATCAAACTTAGATCTAAATCTTCACCTACTGAGTAGATAGACGAACATTCCTCAATTTCCCCATTGAACTTAAGAGATTTAAACACATTGAAAGTCACATATTGGTCATTCACTCTCATTGTTAACTCTCCTTTTTGCACGTCAATCAATGTTCTACCCGTGGCAAGAAAGGGTCTTCCTAAGATGATCGGAACATTCCTATCAGCTTCATAATCTAACACTAACAAGTTGGCTAAAAATATGAATTTATCCACTTTAACCAAAATGTCTTCAATTTTTCCTTTTGGATACGCCAAAGACCTATCCGCTAGTTGTAAGATTACGGTGGTTGGTCGGATTTCCCTTATTCCCAATTTATTAAAGATGGACAAAGGCATGAGATTTATACTTGCTCCAAGGTCACACAGAGCATGACCTACTTCCTTCCCTCCAATTGAACATGGGATGGTGAAACTCCCCATGTCTTTTAATTTGGGGGGGGGGGGAATTTTGCAAGTAAGAAGAACACTATATTTCTTTGTCAAATACACGGTCTCAAATTCACTTAGACTTCTCTTTTTACTAAGGATGTCTTTCAAAAATTTAACATAGCTAGGCATTTGCTCAAGAGCCTCTACCAAAGGTATGTTAATGTGGAGTTTCTTAAAGATGTCCAAGAACTTCTTAAACTGTACATCCGCATTTTTGGCTTTCATCTTACCTGGAAAAGGTAAATCTCTCAGATCTATATCTGTTGGACCGGTCTTTTTCTGTTGGGGAGTGGGCACTTTCTGCCTACTATGGGCAGTGTCAGCTGGAGACTGGTTGGTGCTGGAACTGGACAGAGCTGCTGTTTTTTGGACGAGAACTGGATTCTGTGTGACTTCAGCTGGAGGAAACAAAACTGGAAATTTCGATGTGTCAAAAGAATGTGGAATATTTTCTTGACAAATCAGTTCATTAGATGTTTCCTTTGCGTTACTAGATTCTCTCAAGTTCTCATCATTTCTTAAAGTCACGACCTTGACATGTTCCTTAGATGTTTCTGTGTCACTAGGCAAGGTTCCTTGAGGTCTATTCTTGAGATCAGCGGCAAATTGGCCAAGTTGGGTCTCCAAATTTCTCAAAGTGGCATTGGTTTGGTTTATAAAACCTTTAAGTAAAGATTCAAGTGAACCATTACTCTCTGATGCATTTTGTTGCCTAGGTGCATGTGATTGTGAGGATTGCCTACTTTGGTACATGTAATTACCACCTTGAATATGATGACCACCTTGATGGAAACCCGGGGGATTTGGAGGTTGATTTTGGACTTAGGTTGCCCCGGGGGGTTGAAGTCCAGGATTTCAAGCCCATGAGAAATTCGGGTGATTTCTCCAATTTGGATTGTATGTGAGAGAAAAAGGGCTATTTCTAGCATGGCTCCCAACATAATTCACCGAAACGGGGTTTCCGGGGCAAAACTCATAAGAATGATTTTCACCGTAGAAAACACAAGATTCAGTCATGGATGAATTGGACATTATGGATTAAACTTGATTCTTTTCCCCATTTAAGTTTAAATTGTTTTTAACCAAATTAGTTAAAGCTACAATTTGTGCATTTAAGGAAGAAATGGCGTCAAGTTCATGAATGCCCGAGGCAGATTCTCAGAAACAACAACACGAGGGTTAAACCATTCAGTATTATTATTAGAAATTCGTTCCAAGATGTCATATCCCTCGTTATAGGTTTTAGCTGTGAAAGCACCACCGGCCGTTACGTCAGGAATAATTTTAGCGGCACTGGAAAGTCCATTATAAAAGGTTTCCAATTGAATACAATGAGGGTGTGATAACCAGATCCTGGTTATTACCTAAGGTATTTAATACGTGATTATTTTATTAATTCATTATGTGATAGCGTGATAAACTGATATGTTTGATACATGCTGGTATGGGAATTTATGCATTTATTTGAATAAAGGTATATATATATATATATATATTTATATATATTTTTATGTATGCATAAATTATGGAAGTATATAATTATGTATGCATGAAGTATGGGATATGTATGTATATATGTATGCATGGTGGGTTATATGCATGAGGTGGAAGGAGGAAAGGAAGGCGGTTAGCCGACCTTTCCTTATTTGGAAAGTATAAATAGAGAAC